GCGGGCCGGGGGCGGGCCGGGGGCGGGGCCGCGGCGGGGCGGCGGCGACCTCCGAGCTCGGCGTCCCCTCCTAGGGACCACCCCGCCGTCATCAAGCGGCGCTTCACCAGCGTCCTGGTCGTGTCCAGCCTGTCTCCGCTCTGCGTGCTGCTCTGGCGCGAGCTCACGGGCATCCAGGTGCGAAGGGGCGGGCGGGCGGGCGGGGCGTCCGTGGGAGGAGCCGGACTGATGCCCCCGTCCTGTGGCTCAGCCAGGCACATCCCTGCTCACCCTGATGGGCGTGAGGCTGGAGGGCATCTTCCCCGCGGCTCTGCTGCCCCTGCTGCTGACCATGGTGAGTGCCGTCCCCCCCGCCCCGTGGCGCCGACAGCACGCGCCCTGTGGCCCTTGTGTCCAGGTCGTGTCCCGGTGAGAGCCTGGCCCCGGGAAATCCTGGCCGAGACCGGGATGCGTGAGGCTCCGAGGTTTGGGCAGAGGCCTGGTGGTCAGAGCCCAGATGTCGGCTCCTGCTTCTCCAGATCCTCTTCCTGGGCCCGCTGATGCAGCTGTCCATGGACTGCCCCTGCGACCTCACAGACGGGCTGAAGGTCGTCCTGGGTGAGTCCTCGGCGAGGGAGCGTGGGCACAGGCCACGCGGGACAGTGGGGGAGGAGAGCCAGCCTCTGTGCGCGGGGGCGTGGAGCTGCGTGACCTCTGTGACTCGGTTCTCTTTAAGATGTATTTATTTATTTGAAAGAGTTAGAGGAGAGGCAGAGAGGGAGAGAGAGAGAGAGAGAGGTCTTCCATCTGCTGGTTCACTCCCCAGATGGCCGCAAAGGCTGGGGCTGAGCCGATCTGAAGCAGGAGCCAGGAGCTTCCTCCAGGTCTCCCAGGGGGTGCAGGGGCCCAAGGACTGGCCATCCTCCACTGCTTTCTCAGGCCACAGCAGAGAGCTGGATCGGAGGTGGAGCAGCCGGGACTAGAACCGGTGCCCACATGGGATGCTGGCCCTGCAGGCGGTGGCTTTACCCGCTACGCCACAGCGCCGGCCCCATCTGAATTGGTTCTTGCGTCCAAGGGGTCCCTTAGGCACCGCAGCAGTACTTGATGCGGGCCGGACGGCTGTGGTTACGTGTTCGCGAGTTCTCCAGAGGACAGCGCGGCCCCGCGCGGGCGTCTCAGCACCGCTCTGTGCTGGGTCTGCCGCGTCTGGCCGCCTGCTGCCCGCTCTCGTTGGCAGCAGTGCCTGACCTGAGCTTGGCCAGGGCGACGTTCGGGAGGGCGCCCCCGTTCACCAGAGTCCCGGCCCCCCAGCTCCCCGCTCCTGGGCCCGCTGCCTCACAGACATGCGCTGGCTGCGGAACCAGGTGATCGCCCCGCTGACGGAGGAGCTGGTGTTCCGGGCCTGCATGCTGCCCATGCTGGCGCCCTGCACCGGCCTGGGCCCCGCCGTGTTCACCTGCCCGCTCTTCTTCGGAGTTGGTGAGTGCGTCCTGCCCGCTCCTACAAAGCTGCAGTGCACAGGACGTCGAGCCCCGGGGGCGGGCCCTGAGGGGCGGCTGGGAGGGGAGTGACGCGTGCCGGCTTCCTCCCAGCCCACTTCCACCACATCATCGAGCAGCTGCGCTTCCGCCAGAGCAGCGTGGGGAGCATCTTCCTGTCTGCAGGTGAGCGGGCGCCGCGCGGCGTGCTGTGTGGCGGGGGGGCGCGGGACCGGAGCGCTCGTGCTGGAGGGGCCGGCCTCGGGCGCCAGGGTGCAGAGGACGCCCGTGAGTGGCTGTCAGGGACGGGGTGGCGACCAGCCGAAGGTGCAGGCGTGGTCACTCACGGGGGGCGGGTGGCGTCTAGCCGAGGGTGCAGGCGTGGTCACTCACAGGGGACGGGGTGGTGTCCGGCCAAGGGTGCAGGCGTGGTCACTCACGGGGGGCGGGGGGCGTCTAGCCGAGGGTGCAGGCGTGTTCACTCACAGGG